ACAGTCAGTAGTTTTTGGGTGAAATTTATAAAATCTTTCTCTTAAACAATTTTTCAGGAAAACTGGTTTCCCAGGGTCAGTAGTTGTTATCGCTCTTTCCCAGTATTTATGAGGTTTTCCTTAATAATTTGTGAGCTTATATCCGCATCACCTTTCCTGTATGATCCCCGAAGTTAAGCTACGCTGAACATCGTCAATAACTAGATCAGTAACCGTTTGGGATTATCAGGTGCTGTAATTGCCGGTAGTGTAATGGATAATGGCTTGGAATTGTTACTCAGGGAGCCGAGCTCCAATTCCAGTTGAGTTTTCTATATTCAATTACGATCAAATGCCCTTGGGAAAAATATGGGTTCACCTTTTCTCACCCCAGGTTTGGGTGAATTAGTAAGACTTGTATCCCTAAACCATTATTATCTCACGTAAAAAAATATTTAGATTTCGTCATCAAATAACCCATGGAGATGTTGATCGACCCTCAAACAAAACAACCAACCAATTCACCTTTTATTTGAAGTCGTGTGGAATGTTAATATCTTGATTATGTTATTGTTTTCTCTTCGAGTAACTTGTGCTATCCATTTTAATTGTTGCTGATGTTAGTTGTCATCAAATGATGTGGTTTCTGTTATTTGGTACAGTTCTTTGTTTGTGATTCCGTAGCACCAGACCACAATTTTCAAAGAAGAATGATCTTTGCCAAGCCATTAGGCTTCACTCCCTCAAAGACTTTTACGCCATTGATCTTAGGAAGCGGTTTTTAGGCTGTATTTAGATAATGTAAATTTAGATTAGGAAAAAAATATTTTGACTCTCACAGAAACATAAACATAAAAGAAGTTTAACAGAAGTTAAACATAAAAGGATAAAATCTGATCCGTGCAACGCTTTTACGTCTACAAGGGTCATGTAGCCAAAAATGTGTCTAATTCGATATCTACATTAATGGCGTGCAGTTAAAAAGTAATACCCTGTCTTCAATTACAACAAATTTAATAATACCAAAACGCAGCGTCTTAGGTAAGACGATAAATTAAATACGCGTCCTGGTTAAAACAATAAACTACATCCAACACCTCTTAATTGCTGGCATTCCTAGGTCCACCCTGACCCGGGGTGGTAGCACCAACTATTCGATATATTTTAACTAAAATTCAGCAGGTTTGATATGAAAAAGTTTTCAACGAATTCTTCAATCAGGATTTACATAAGATACATTTCCCGCCTCAAAGGGTTTAGCAACGAACGAAAATGGTAATAATCGGTTGGCACAAGCTCAGGGGAACATAGCAGATTGCAGAGAACAGACCAACCGAATTCCAAAAGTTTCTTCTGTGTTATTCCCGTTCTATTCAGTCCTGCGTCATCATGTCGGGGGTAAACATTTTCTTATTGACGAGCTCTGAGCGCTTTCCGACTAAACATTTATGAAACTGTTGCAGCTGCTCGACGTATAAATATGCATTTAGTGCAGGGGTCGGCAACTCATTCGACCCCGCGGGCCGGATCGTGTTATAATGACGGGTCGCGGGCCGGACGAAGGCCATTAATGAAAAATTAAGGAAAATTACATATGCAGACCCCTGTCAACGTAAATATTTAAAACCATAATGAAGATATCCACACATTCATGAGGCATGTATGTATAATGCGCGTATATTTAACTGTCTTTAGATTTCTGCTACCTCGCATGTCAGTCCCTCCCTGGCCTCTTTCACTTTATCGTTTCTTTCGCTTCTGTTATCTTTTAATGTAGCCAAGGGTCATAACAAATATGTATCCATTATTTGACATTAAACGTAGGCAACGCAACTTGGTAAAATAAGTCTAATGAAAGATAACTCGCAGTCTAATTCGAAAGCTTCGTCTCTCATGTTAAAATAGAGTCATTGGTAATCAGGCTCGCGGGCCGGTCAAAATGCCTTCGCAGGCCGGATTCAGCCCGCGGGCCGTAGGTTGCCGACCCTTAATTTAGTGTTTCATTGTAACCTAATCCTTTGTCTGTCCAGGACATTTTTCTGTGTACTATCCTAACGTCCAGGAGGCACGGTGGAGTAATGGATAGCGGATTGAGGAATCGGATTTCGAATTCCAGTCGATCCAATAATATTCACTTACGCGTTAATACCCTTGAGAAAGGTAGGATTTTCCTTCTTCTTCTCCCAGCTATGTGTAAATAGCAGGACAAGCCGGCTTCTATAGCCTTGGATGGCAAATGGTCTACCTCAGAAAGAAATGGCAACCTACCGCGAGAAAAAAATCTGCCTCGTCAGTCATGTACCGAAAGATACATGATCGCTTAAGCGTGTATCATGCATGGTATATAACTAGTTGACTGAACCGTGGGAAAGGTATGAATCCTCTTCTTCTCCTCCCAGGTATAGGTAAATAGCATGGCAACCTACTGCGGCAAAAAAAATCTGCCTCGTCAATTATGTATCGAAAGATACATGATCGCCTAAGCGAGTATCACGCATGGCCCATAACTGAATCGGAGAAC